GAAGTTAAGTTCAGCTTTTCTGGTGCATTGTTTTTCTATAAAATGTTTGTTTTTAAATCTTTGACCTCAAAGATGCTCACTTATGGAAACAGCATGGGTGTTGTTAACAATCGTTTCTTTGATTGATCGAGGATAATGTCATATTTGATGCCCGAAAATACGGCTTAATTAATAGTTTATGATGTACAGCAGGTGACTTGCAATTTCGAAAAATTCTATATTATACCGATTGTTTTATTCAAAATAATTATGTGTACACATATGGTGACGTATACGTACTCTATATGTTCAAATCATTTTAGGTCAATGATGTTATCCTCGTTAATTCTCATGCAGAATAAGTCGCAATGAGTTTAAAAACAACATTATGATAAACGTAATACCTTATATCATAAATTGACATAATGGTATGAGTTATAAAACTATGAAGATGTGGTATGATTATCAACGAGACAACTATCTACCAAGTTCAAATGAAGTAAGTGTAAGCAATTATAGGCAACCGTACGACCTTCAACAATGAGAAAAACCCATACCGCAAAGTTGGCTATAAAAGGCCCGATGTGAAAAATATGAAACAATTCAATTGAGAAACTAACGGCCTAATCTATAATAATAAAACAATTTAAAAAATACAAATTATGACAGACATGAACCAACGACAACTACTGGAATACAGGTTTCTGAACTTAGGACAGACACATAAAGAATGTGGCGGGGTTAAACATGTTAGTAGACGCTAAAATCTCCCCCTACCATGGGACAGTGGTGTTACAGCACACCATAATAACAAACTATAAAAATCAGTTAAACAAGGCTTAACTAATCTGATCGATACCAGGCAGAAACACATCTTACAAAAACACAAACCGGACGTGGCAGGGTATTTATATATCCCTAACAACAAAAAAGATACAGATCTGAGAGTACTCAAAGTTTCTGACAGCTAGTTCAAAGCCAAATACAACTAATAAAAAATGTATCTAAGACTAAAATATCAATTAATACATTTTCAGATCCAATGGATTTAGTGTAAAGACGTCATTACTAGTAAGAGAAAAACACGACCTTGTGCAATGCCAAAATATAGGTATCGACAGATTGCATTACCGTGAAAGTGCATATGTGTATACCTTTTAGAATAAGTTTATTTCAAGGACTGATAAGTTTGCCCGGATCGTATCTAAATTTCCGGGCTCGGTAAACAACATCACAGTAAATTTAGGATGTGCTATTCCGTTTGAATTAAGTTTTCTACAGGTACAGTCAAACTTAAAAGCCAAATCTTTGTATCTATGGAAGAAGTTAGTAAAGGTCTAAAGTAATTTGTGGTAACGAAATCTCTGACTTGATAATATACTAGTAATACATATATTACGCTCATTGAAATCTAAACGTAACTACAGACACGGGCATAGTGAACAAGTTTTGATATATAAACACAGTGAGACGGTGCCAAAGGAATCTCACAGCCCAAAAAGAAAAATGAACAATTGCAAAAGAAAAATCCCCCTTTTTGTCGTAATGATTTGTGTTGAGTTTCAGGTGTAAAACTGAAATATCTAAATCTAGGAAAGGACAGTTATTGCTGTAAATATTCTATTTATTTAAAGTTAGTTCATGTGGCTAAAGTTTTGCAATATACTTACAGAGTTCTTGATTATTTAACGAAAACATATCATTAAGATAACGGTAAGTGTTGTTTAATTTTTCAATTAAATGGAATTTATACGGGGTTTTTTTTCTTTGTTTTGCCTTAAAATGTGATTCCTAACAGTACAGTGACCAGTCTGCTATTAAAGGGCACACTTAATGTCCATAGGAATACCTACGACCTATCGATAAACTTCATTGCCGAAACGTACATAGATGTTGTCAAGGAGAACAGTTACATTTTTAATCATCTCATCACAACTCTAATAAGCATAATTAGCATATTTACCTTTCTCATTTGAGAACAAGGCTTTAAATGAGTTCCATAAAATTATTTTGCAATCAGATTTATCAAACGACCATTTAATCAAATATCAAATTTTTTGTTTGATAAGATTGTGTAAAAGTGTAATATAAAGAGTGGAAAGGTCAAAGCTCAAACGAGTCAAAAGGACCACCAAAAACAAGTAATTTATCTAAAACATCCAAAGCATTATTTACATTTTAAAAACGGTTAATTCCACTATTTTTATATGTAATATTACAAACATTAGTGATAAGCGCTTTGGTAATAGTTAAGGAACTCGTTAAAAGCTCTGAAAGATTAGTAGTAGAACACTTACAAGAGGCCGAGATTAAACAATATTTTACGTTGTTTTTTTTTTTAGTTTATGTTACCAATACATATTGGGGACATTCAAATGTTCAGAGAAGGCCTTAAGCTGAGCTGTGATAGGGACATGATCATTTAAAATATGACTCTCTGTGAAGCGTATGGCCTTTTATGTAGTTTAATGTATAATTATTATTCTGATCGAATGCCCTGCAGTATTTACGCCATGCCACCACCACATTGTTGGCTGCTTTGTCAATCGGTACGAACACAAAACGCTTTGCGAGCGCTTGAATTGTGTTTTTAATCCTAGAAATCGGCGTATAACTTACTCTTTTATTTATTTCTAAATTGTTTTCGAAATGTGATATGCGAAAATCAACAATATTCAGACATTTATTTAAATAGAAATCAAGTGATTTTTTGTCAGATTTCTCCCGTTTACACCATTTTTTACATTAGGATGAAAGAACATCTTTAATAGCCTGACGATACTCTTCCCAATTCATTTTCGACGGTGGACGATATTTGGGTCCTTTTTGAGAAAAAACGCCAGGAGATTTGCCACATTTTGATATTTTCACTACATTATACACTTCGCTACTGGTAATTTCACCATCTAATATTTCAAAATCATCAAGTGTAAAATTAGCACGAAGTTTATTTCGTTGATTGCGGTTAATGCGATTGCAATGAGACCTATGATTGCGTTGTGTATTTTTTTTAATCAACAATAGTCATAATATCAGAGGAAGTTTAAGATATGTTCCCTTGGCCCATGATATTGTCGTTAGACCTAGGAAGTGGACGGAATTCTATAAATTTAATATTGTGTTTGTGTTTTTCTAAATGTTGGTAAATTAAACTTTTAAATTTCTTAGGTCTGTGGAAGCGGTATAGATGTTCTGAACGGAATCTTTTGCTAAATGTCGAACACTACATCTGTATAAAAATAAAAAGATGTGGTATGATTTCCAATGAGAAAACTCTACGCCAGAGACCAAATGACGTACATATCGTAGTTAGCAACTATAGATAACCGTACGGCCTGAAACGTTGAGCAAAACCCATACCGCATAGTAAGCTATAAAAGACCCGACATGACAAATGTTAAACAGTTTAAACGAGAAAACTAATCGCCTAATTTATGTGCAAAACAATGATCCCCAAAAAAAAATATATATACAGAAACTAACGAAAAACCACAGAACTACAGGCTTCTGACTTTGTACAAGCACATACAGAATGTGAATGGAATAACTGTAGGGTTAAATCAGCAAATTATTCATGTGATCTGTTTTATAATTCACATGTAAGATCCATATAAGTCGACAATGTTCACAAGGCAACACTTCACAATCAATAATATGTCACTCTATCTGTTCATATTATTCTGAACTAACAGCCGTTACGTTAGATGATCATGATACTGCTAAATACCGCGTGATGTAGCGAAGTAGCATAACATACCAATTTTCAAGTCCTCGGTTTGACCCGGGCAGATATTGAACTCAGAACGCTACCACGTGCGCACGAAAATTGGTGTCATAATTACATATTTTGCTACGTCAATATTAATAATAATAATAATAATAATATTAATAATAATAATAATAATTGTCATGTAAATAATAATTATAATAATATTATTGTTATTTTAATAAATATTTCCTAAACAAAATATTGAGAAGTTATGTTTTAAAAAATTGTTGTGAGTATATCTTTAATAATTTATAAAAATAATGATATTCATGTCTATTAGTTCGTTAAGCATTCCTTTAAAAAATATAAATATAAAAATATAAAAAAGACATCAAAATATAAAAGAAATTAATGAGAGTATGTCTAACAAACAACGTCATTCATTATGCCTTGGATTTTTAGTTTTTCTCAAAAAAATTACGAAAGAAGTAACATTTAAGACAATATCAAAAACAATAACGGGGATCATCAAAATTGTTGTTAATTCGAATCTCCAACGGTCAGTAAACAGGTTGTATACAAACAGCAGTGTGTCGAAAATTATGTCCATTATGCGGTAAACAGTAATAAAGCGTTTGAAATATCCAGGCCAATCTTCTCTTGTACTTATGGAGGAAAATCCTTTCAATAAAGCAAATGTCATTACATCGTAGAAAAAGACATTATACAATAAAATTATACTGAACATCGTAACGGATAATCCACTCTCTCTATAGCCAGTTCGGTTTATTCCACATATTAATAGAAATCCACATACATTGATCAATAATCACATTGCAGTGCGGATCATTAGAACTTTTAACTTCTTCTCTTCTATTTTATCCTTTGGAGACTTTAGGATTTCATATAACGCAAGAAGAATGGCACACGAAATATCCAAAAAATCTTCAGAAAAACACATTTTAAAATAAAGTCTTGACAGATTTTGAGTTAGAATTCAATGTTTTTCTACAACATATGATTTCGAGTGTAATACAATTAAAATTAACGTTTTGTAATCTTTGTTTCTAATAACAGGAAAAACCACAGTCCATATGCTACCAAGAAAACTGGTTTTTGTTATGATCACTCATGCATTTAACTGAGCACAATACTACTACTTGTACTATTTTCAAAATATCTCAGTAGGTGTAATTCATAACGAATTCTTGCGTGTTATATAATTTAAATTGGCTAATTTCATACGTTCTAAACTTACTTCATTGAATTTAAATGGACTGAAACAATATTGATGTCCACTAAACTGCAACAGTGGTGGTGTTTATTTACAAATTCCTGACGTGGAACTAACGCTTCAGATCAAATCAGATTAGAATAGAAATATTTATTTTTTTGGAGTCAGATCTGGAATTTCCTTAAAAAATTCATGTTTTAAATTTATCTATTGCTATTAGAATTACTGTATTCTTTTAATTTTTGACGATTTTTAAAAACGTGTTCAAAGTGTTGTGTTATACGTGTACATGTATACTATTTAGTTTGAGATCTGTTCTATTTGAAAGTGAAGATGTGCTGCAGGTTTACGTGTGTATTTTATATAGATTTGTTATGTTCGTTCATGCTCAATAACTACGACAGTTTTGCAAATTATGTAGGAACAAAACATAAAAAAGAAACGGACATATTAATAAAAAAAGTAAGGATCTTACTACTTCGGCTAGGGATTGGATATTTGATCAACATAGCATGCTTTCTTATTGTTTGTTTTGTCAACAGAAAAACTAAAGACGAAGGGGAAGGCGGATTCCTGTTATTTTGTTCAATCGTAATTTTTGCAGTGTGTTTTTATGCCTTTATAACTTTTTCACTAGTATACAGAATTTCAAGATTTTCAAGTATTGTGGACAACTCTAAAGCTGAATATAAAGTCTCAAAATATCAAAAGTTCATGATGGTGTATAAATGTCTGGATGTTATTTTCGACATTGCGGTGTTGCTTTATAGTTTCATTTTATCAGATTGGAAATTAACAGCATTTACTATCGCGGCTACGGCGGTGTTATGTACCGATGTGGCACTGAATGTAATTGTGTTAATTAAAAACTGCTGTTCCGACGAGGAAAGAAGCGATAAGTATCGTTCAAGTGAAAATAATCCAGCGTTTGAAATACCAGAGGTAAGGATACGTGATTTTAAAACAAACATATGAATAGTATAATCATTAGTATGAAAACTTAATGTTGATGATGATCTTTAAAAGTCCTTTTTAAATGTATAATAGACAACGTCTACGACCAGAGTGATTATGGCATGGTATTGGTTGCAAAAATTTGATATTTTCATTTAAATGCAATATTTTTCATTTTAATTGGTATATTTTTTCATTTATATGCAATATTTTTCATTTATATGCAATATTTTTTCATGTGTATTGTATATTTTTTCATTTAAATGGTATATTTTTTCATTTATATGCAATATTTTTTATTTTAATGGTATAATTTTTCATTTATATGGTATATTTTTTCATTTAAATGCAATATTTTTTATTCAAATGGTATAATTTTTCATTCAAATGGTATAATTTTTCATTCAAATGGTATAATTTTCATTCAAATGCAATAGTTTTTATTCAATTGGTATAAAATGTCATTTGAATGCAATATTTTTTATTCAATTGGTATAGTAGTTTTTTATTTATATGCAATAATTGCATTATGGGAAATTCTTTGACGTCATAAGGTCAAATTTGCAACAACGTTTGTGATTGGTCGGAAATTGTTTGGATTTCTCCCCTTTCTTTCTAAACATGGGTGACCAAGAATTAAAAAACGCGTCAGAATATCGCCCCTCTAACTAAATCTAACGTTCGTGCGAGTCCTGCACTGGCTGTTAAAATCTTGTGGTCATAACTAGTATTTCTATTGCAAAATTTCGATGGTCAAAACGTTCGGTCCACTTTTCAAAAACCGTTTCATTGTATATGGATTTATATGCAAGTATATCGGGTTTTTAAATAGATTAGACACCGTTGGTTTTCCCGTTTGAATGGTTTTACACTACTAATTTTTGGGGGCCCTTTATAGCTTGCTGTTCGGTTTGAGCCAAGGCTCCGTGTTGAAGACCGTACGTTGACCTTTAATGGTTTACATTTACAAATTATGACTTTGATGGAGAGTTGTCTCATCGGCACTCATACCACATCTTCTTATATGTATATTCAACGTAAACCAGACGTTTCTCAGACTGTTTTCTTTTTTTAATAAATCCTTTGCCGCGCGTTGTGTACTGATTGATAACTCGGTCTGGGAGAACAAGATTTATTTCAGTACCAGTTGTAATTAGGTTTGAGCAAACTTCCAGTAATTGCAAATACTCTTATGTCGGTGCTTTGTGTCTATTGTCTTAATGTTAGTTTTTGTGTGTGTCTCCTACCGATCTTTTGAGTAATTTGCTGATTTGTGCAGGTTGTTATTTTATTGTACCGTTACACCACTGTCCCAGCTTCGGGATGGGTTGCTCACAAACATGTTGTTGTACTGTTACACCGCTGTCCCAGATTAGGGGGAGGATTGGGATCCCGCTAACATGTTTAACCCCGCCACATTCTGTATGTATGTGCTTGTCCCAAGTCAGGAGCCTGTAACTCAGTGGTTGCCGTTTGTTGCTTTGTTATACATATTTGTGTTTCGTTCATTTTTTTGTACATTAATTCGGCCGTTAGTTTTCTCGATTGCATTGTTTTACATTTTTGATTTCGGGTCCTATTATAGCTGACTATGCGGTGTAGGCTTTGCTTATTGTCGAAGGCCGTACGGTGACTTATAGCTGTTGATTTCTGTGTCATTTGATCTCTTGTGGAGAGTTGTATCATCTGCAATCATACCACATCTTCGTTTTTATATCCACCCTGCCATATTCTTTATTTGCCTGTCCCAGGGATGGAGCCTGTAGTTTAATGGTTGTCGTTGGTTCCTGTCTCGACTCATATTTGATATTTTGTAAATTGTTTTGTTATGTATAATTAGGCTGTTAGTTTTTTCGTTTGAATTGTCAGTCACACTTTTAATGTAGGGCCTTTTATAGACGACTTTACAGTATCAGGTTTTTGTCATTGTTGAAGGCCTTACGATTATCTACAAAAATCATTTGTCTACATGACGGCAAAAAGCTCTACAGAGCTCATGTTTGTAGTATTTCATGTAACCCGAATTAAAATAAATTTTTCTTATCTTATCTTATCTATAATTGCTTACATCCACTTCATATTTGAACTCCGGTGGATAGTTGCCTTATTAGCAATCATATTCCATATCTTCATTTTTATATTATATACGTGACTTCTAAACTCGTGTTTTCCTGAACAAGCATGACATAATTTTCACTAGGCGTTAAAATTAGCAACAAACAAGCAATCAATTTAAACTTGTGTTAAATTAGAGGAAACCCATTTGATATTTATTTATTTGTTGGGTCGGGGGACAGAAGGATTTCATATATGAATATGGTTGCCTGGTAAGAGCTGAAAAATAGGCATGATTAGCGACAGATTGAAATAAATAATAATGCCCCCTCTCCCCTTCCCCATCCTTCATCTATAAATTTAAACTGACCACCACGGAATAGCCCAATAGTGTTGAAAGTAGTGTAAAACACCAATCAATCAAAATCCCTTCCCTAGAATATCAAATAATCGTCCCTTAACTGTTATTGTCCGTGTAGTTCTTATATTTATCCAGCTTATCGTCCTACAGGGATGTCCTACTAAGGCTGTCATACCATAAAACGTTTATAAAACAGCTCACATTCTAATATATCTGCATTCATAAATTTATTAATTTCATTTAGACTAAACGACGCCATGTTTGTTATGTGCCTCTGCCGTCAACCTATCAAAAAAGAAGAGGTGGAAGAGAGCCAGAAGATCTTCCCAATGCCAAAAAAAAAAACAGAAATGGACTTCTTCTGGCTCACTTCCGAAGAACAAAAAAAAAAACGCGTCCCATTGATATGTTTTAAAAACGCCTTGCCCCTACCTTTTTTTCCAAAAAAAATGGCATTATTAAATATATAACATATATATAATCATCAAAATTAAAATGCTATTGTATTTTTATAAGACCTACTTTATTACATGACCTGGGACTAATGACATCTATCTATAAGTCCTAGCATACATTAATTATTATAATATGAATATGTTTCTTGTTTTAATAACCACATATGATGCTATGCATGAGGTCACCATTTATCAGGACATGAATTGGGTTTACATAGAGAGGATAAGGGACACATCAGAAAATCAATGAAGGATAAAAAACTTACTTCAAATAGTTGGGGGGGGGGGGGGGGGGTCAAAATTGCTGCAAGTTTTGTTTAATTAACATCGATTTTATATATATCCTTATTGGTCAATCAATTTTTTCCCAAATTAAGAAACTAAATTAAGAGGGGGTTGGGGGTAGGGGGTCAGTGAAAAAAACTATATGAATTATTTTTTTTTTTATCCTACATTTAACTTTTGATGTCGTCCCTAATGTGCAAAAAAAATAGATAAGGGGCGGGGACCAAACCTATAGAAAACATAATAAAGAAATGATGAAATATACAGAATACGTTGATTGACTTTTGGTTGCCTTATGTCCAGTGGCAAATATGTCACGCATGTTTAGAACAAATATGATATAGATCAAAGGATAAAGAATAGAGTCAAATGGTAAAAACTAAAAGATATAGAATTATAGAAACGATCTTTGATCTGAAACCCCCTACCCTCACACACACACCATAACCATTACTGCCAATATTCGCATATTATACATCTCTATACAAATATCTAAATTTGAACCTACTCCCCCCCCCCCCCCCCCCCCCCCCCCCCCCCCCCCCCCCCTTTCTAGACACCGAGGTTTTGGATCCGCCCCTGTTAAATGTGTCTAATTTTATACATTGTGTACGGGTCTAGATAATAGCTAAACGTACAATCATATAATTTGTTGATACCTAATTATATTATATAATGTGTCACAAAATAAACTTGTATACCCCCCTTCCCAATGCAGTATTGAAAAGTAAATCATTTAAAAGTCCTGAAGATAAAATATGTTTTGAAATATGCCCTGCATACTTATTTATGCAAAGACATATAGTAATTATTGAACTACTGTGGGGCTTGAAAAAAAATCTATTTAAGGGATTCAGAGGCGAGAACAGTAAAAAAAAGCTCAGCAACGAATCCTAAATGTAAAATGATTTGCAGCATAAGACATGAGAGCACATATCATAGATAGTATTAAATATGAAGTTCACGCCTCATATAGTGAAGTCCTATGTCATAGGACTATTGTTGTAACATGGGTTAGTAACTGGTTCCAATTTATCCTGAATTGTCTTTATTAAAGAATTAGTTCCGGAGTATAACAGCTTATGTCTCTACTTGTGGGTTTCTAGTTCTGCTGTCGTAATAAGGTGATTTTTTTTCTACATGTAGTAAAAAAGAGGGGGCTTAGTCCAAATAATTGTAACGTCCTGGATGCTTTTTATTCTTTTTTCATGTGCCTTCCTGCAACGTCTCTGAGGATCAAGAAAAGTCAAAAATGATATAGCACTAAAGAACGTCATGGTTACATGTATCTGGACTTAGAAGGGGGAGGGGAGCTAGCTATGTATTTTTTTTTATTTCAATGTGTAGACTGTAGGAGAGTTTCTTCAGAAAAGGTTTTCATTGGAGGTGTTTTTGCCATGCACGCAGGCATCTGTTTCAGCGCTATCCATGAACAAGTTGTGTGTCAAATTAATTATTATTACTTGTCACTCGCATTTTTTGCTCGTCCTGGCCATTATTTGCATTAACAGCCAGTGCAGGACTCGCACGAACGTTAGATTTAGTTAGAGGGGCGATATTCTGACGCGTTTTTTAATTCTTGGTCACCCATGTTTTGAAAGAAAGGGGAGACATCCAAACAATGTCCGACCAATCACAAACGTTGTTGCAAATTTGACCTTATGACGTCAAAGAATTTCCCATAATGCAATTATTGCATATAAATAAAAAACTACTATACCAATTGAATAAAAAATATTGCATTCAAATGACATTTTATACCAATTGAATAAAAACTATTGCATTTGAATGAAAATTATACCATTTGAATGAAAAATTATACCATTTGAATG